GCAATCTTGAGCTGATTAAGACAGGCCTATAGTGGGCAGTTGTGCAGGGGTGATAACTTGAAATGATTATGTTTTTTTATGGTGAGTTATGGACTGATTTGCAAGAAGGATTGGGGTACACTTATTGGTGGAATGCCCAGCCTAAATTTGTTAAACCCCATTTCATGAGTACCTCATTTAATTATATACAGAGTTCATGAAGATGTAACATGTAGTATTGGATTGGATGTGTTGTATGGACTACTGGCAAATGTTTTATACTCTATCCGTTACTTTTGGAAGGGATAGGATTGCTTCTTATACAAAATTCAACCTTCTTTGCATTTAACATTTTTTTGGAAGTGATGTAGATTTTCTTGTTTTGTGAAACCCAATTTGTCTCATGAACTAAAATTATTTTTGTAATATGTTCACTTAAAATTATTTGCAAGTAAACTTTTCTACTATCTTTTATTTTGGTAGTCTTGTTTTTCTCACCAGTTACTAAAATATGGACATGGTACCTGTCAAATTTTTATCCACAAAAGTGGATTGAATGCTTCCTCTAACTCAATCTCTTTTCTGTCGTTAAAATAAAAAATAAAAGAAGAAGAAGAAGGAAAACATAAAAACATGACACAAGCCAGATCCCTTTTCCTTGAAGTTTGTGACATCACAATCTGACATACACGACAAACCTTGAGAGCTATGTATGGATCATCACATGATCCGCCAGCCTTGTCGATTGTAGAACCTTGGTAGAAAGTATTCCTCTCCTTATGGATGCATCTATTTGATCTTTAAAGATCATACTGTTGATATTCAGGCATGCTTTCAATGTCAAACTGGGACGTGACGTTGTCTTTGAGTCATGCAAGAACAGTGGTTATGGGAAAAGAAACCACTCCACAAAGGATGTAAGATTTGATCAAGTATAGCTTTTTGTGGGAAATGTTGTAATAAATATTGTAATTGATGATTGTGGTGGCAACAAGGAATTTGGGGGAATAGCAATGATCAATCAATATATTTTCTTTTTGGGGGAGGGGGGGGGGGGGGCTTGAGAGATTCAGTATCTTGTAGGATCTACAGCTAATTTTATGATACATTTCACCCTAATTGTTAATACTTAGATTATCTTACTGTATTGCAGAAAAAAAGTATAATTCAAAACATTTTCCTATGTTAATTGTTTACAAAATGTGAATAGTATCAATCCTTTTTTGCCTTTTATTTAAGTGAGTTACACCTCTTTCAATATTCTCTAATCTCAAAGATATAATACTATTCAAAGTTCCATTAAGTTCCAATTTACAACACGTACTTGCATTTTCCTGCCTTTGAGTTTGATCAGATATGGGTAACTAAGATCAGTTTCAGTCGTGAAATTCCCTGAAGAGCAATTGTTTCTGACTGCTTTTGTTCAACTCCAGTCTTATTTATAGTATCTATGATAGCAAGAGGAAGAGAAAAAAAAATTGAAGCTGTGTGTTGATTCCAACAACAAACATTGCAAAGCTAGTGTGTGAGTTTCTTGCTGACTGTGTTCTCGGCGAACAAGCTAGTGGACATCCCCAGTGTTTTGTAACTCTTAAAAAAGCTGAAGACGCATGGTCACAAGACATGTCCTAAACAAAGATCTCTAAGGCGGGGCCTTCTTGCAATTTCATGAACATGGCAGATAGAGGATTGGTTGTAAAAAAAGGATATTAGTGGTGAAATCATGAGATGATGAGAAAAGGATACATGAATGGAGAGAAGGGGTGGATTTGACGCTACTACCCAGTGTTGTTAATTTCTGGGTAATCTGCATTATTTAAAGGTATTCACTTTTTTGAAACATTAACAAATTGCAGGAAAGGAGTATTGGGATACAATGAAGCACAAATATATGATTGTGAGAGTAATACGGTATTCCTTTAGCTTTAATATTGTCCTTTATTCAATTAAAAAAAAATTAAAAAATGAGAATTAATTTTCCTGTGTTTATATACTAACTACACAAACTTTCAAATATTATATTTTTTCACATTTTCACATAAGTTGATGAACTCATCATTTACACCCAAGACTATTTCAGATAAATACTTAAACGAAAAATATGATGTGAATCTCTCTCCCCCCCCCCCCCCCCCCTCTATTCCCCATGAAAAAACAGTGGCTCTTCAACCTGGATGATTGAATTTGACCTATGGAACGCTCGTCAGTTGAATCCCTACAGGACTGGCAACGGGATAGGAACCTATACTGCACCTTTGTATCGCATTTGACAATGAAACACAGAGGGCTGTTAGTTAAAGTGCAAGTCCCCGTGGCTCAAGATGGGAGGTCTAGACAAAGACCTGTCGCGAGGGGCACTTATCACGAGCTCACACCTCAACAAGGGGGAAGAGGGGCTAAACAATAATGACGGGATATTGGCTGTCGGTTAAACACCAGGATATGAGATTTGGGAGGTGCAACCTGTAGGCTATCGATTGCAAAACACCTTTGAGCTCTCTGTATGCCATCTGTGGTATTCAGTGTAGTGCATCAGAAAAGTGCTGTGTCATTTTTATGTAACAATCAAGCCTGTCTCAGCTCAGCACCTTGAGCACTCTGTATGTCATCTGTGGAGTTCTGTGTAGTGCATCAGAAAAGTGCTGTGTCATTTTTATGTAACAATCAAGCCTGTCTCAGCTCAGCACCTTGAGCACTGCGTATTTCATCTGTGGTGTTCTGTGTAGTGCATCAGAAAAGTGCTGTGTCATTTTTATGTAACAATCGAGCCTGTCTCAGCTCAGCACCTTGAGCACTGCATATGCCACCTGTGGTGTTCTGTGTAGTGCATCGGAAAAGTGCTATGTCATGTTGATGTAAACAATGAAGTTGCCTGTTTGTAAAGGTATAATTTCTTGTTTCATATGATCTGTGCCTTGTGCCCACTTGTAGGAATTTTGCTGGAGTGGATGTCGGTCTGGTCTTTGTATACAGGTTCAAAGCATGATGTATCATTGATATTGGGGGCTATTTCAGCAGCTGTAGGAGCAAAGTTGTCCGGAACACCTAAGCATTAAAGGGATTAGACCCTCCTGCATGGTCACCTACAGGTGGTTGGCTCATCAAATCGTCCCTATTTTCACGAAGTGACGGTAGTGAGGAAAATCGTAACGCAAAGTGAATGCAATTTTTATTCACTACCGTCACTTCGTGAAAACAGGGACGAAGTCAGCTCTCAATTAACATAAGAAAAAGAGGATCATGGGGACCAATGGTCACCGATTAGGCATTGTTTGCTATATAGAGGGCGCAAGTAGCTACAAGTAGTGCAGTGGGGCTTTTAGATTGCTGCTCAAATGCAATCAATGGATGTTGAATGAGCTTACGGAATGAATATAGCAGTTGAAAGAGGGGAGGGGGATTAGCATGCATAATCATTTGGTGGTGGTGGTGGGGGGGGGGGGGGTAGTGGTTGTCATGCATTTCAATTTAAATGATTTTATTTCTCATGCAAAACATAATACAATGAATAAGTATATTACACAAAATATACTATGAAACAACAAATATAATAGAAATAGCATGAGAAAAGAGGAACCAACTAGAAGTAGAGCTTGTTTAAGTATTAGTTCCTCAGATGCTGTTTTACAACATATCTTGAACAAAGTAATCTTTAAAAATCAATAAATTAAAATTAGAACTCAAATCCTCAAGAAGTCGAGGTAAAGGCCGACTATAATGAAGGAATGTTGACAGCTTGTTGAACACAATGGGGGATGGCACAGGGGAGGGGGCATTGGTAAGACCTGGGGGCCTTTAAAAAATGCCCCTCAAGATGAAACGGTTGACCATAATGAAGGGAAATAGACGGTAAGAGGACATCAGGAAGTGCGACTCAAGAAGGACCATTAATAGAGGTGTCTTCGATGTCCCACCTCTCTGTGTTTATATATATCTCCAAAACACTCCTATAGTATTATGGGCTGCGTGGCACAGTTTAATTAATTGAGGATGTCTTACTTAACAGTAGATTAAGTTAAAACAGTTCAACAGGTTTGTGACCTTTGAGTCATATCTTGTAGTCAAGATGTAAAGTGGAATGATTCATTTTGTGACCCCTTTTAAAACTTGTCTCCTATTAGTTGGTTGAAATATATCGGGTGTTTATTATGAACAATTTGGTAGCAGTAGGCTAGTCACTTTGCTTCAACACTCTTAATCAGATACAAATATAGTGAATTTATGTGAACAGACAACATTTTTATGTTGTTTTTTTATTTAGAAAATTTTCAAAATTTTCCAAAATTGATGCTCTATGGGGCTTTTGGATAAAGCAAAATCTCTTGGTTTATTTTTAATTTTTTAAATTCTGAAAAAAAGTATCAAACATTTAAACACAAATACACGCCATACAGTATAATAAACAAGTACATTGCCTAAGTTAAAAACATTTATCTACATGTATAATACTGAACTATCAAATCGGAAATCTACAGTCGATATGATATAACAGACCTGCCAACCAGTACGATTTAGTCGTATTTAGTACGATTTTTAGAAGCAAATACGACAGTACAATTTTCCTTAATAAAATACGTTTTTCAAAAAACAAAAAAAAATGTTTTTTTTTTTTTTTTTTTTTTTTTTTTTTTAATAATTTTTTAAAAATTATTATTTTGTGTGTGCGTCCGCCATTTTCAATGGCAAAATGTCCATTCTGTCCTGTAAAGTATCCTACAAGCATCTCACATCAGCAATTTGGGGATGTTTATTGGTTCATCGAACACACCAGTCGTGACGAAATAATGCATATTCAACCAATGATCAATAAAAAAAAATTCTTCCTGTGGGTAGAAACTGTAAGAGGCATTGATCCGCGTAACAATCCGTGTTTATTTTCAAGAATACAACTTTTGTCAGTAAAATACAACTTTTGACACTATAGAATACAGTTTTTGAACTCCAGAGGTTGGCAGGTCTGATATAACCATGTGATGTTTGTTTGTTTGGGGGAGGGGGGAAAAACTGCAAAAGTGTTGTTGATGAATATGAGGAATCAGAAACATGTGCTTCCATGTCATTCATGATTATTAACCAGTCATATTTTGTTTAGAAACTTTGTGCTCTGTGGAAATGAGATTAAGTTGACCATGATGGGTCCATTAGCACGTAATTAACATGTCACTGGCTTTGGACAGTGTCCATTAATTCAATGCTACTGGAGCTATTTAAAAGGAAAACCCAGAGCCAAGTGGGAAAGAAGTCGGTCGTAATTCAATCAGTAATAGCTTTGATGTCCTAATTTCAGAGGGCTCTGTTGCCCTGTTTCCACAACAGAACCCTGAACCCTCACTGTGGAGGCGATAGATAATTTGTGGTGGACTTGTAACTTGGCGCATCCTGTATCGAGATGTCGGGATGGTAGAGCTCCCTCGTCTGGGGTCAGATGGAGAGGTTTGTGCGAGGGGGGACGCATACCCTAGCTGCGTGGTGACTCACCCAGCGTGCACTTGTAACCACACGCGACGGTTAACGGGTGAATATCAGATCAGACAGCTCTGGCTTCGGTGTAGGATGCGGAGTTAACGAGGAGCGCAATCATCGAGGGACGCTCGGATGTGATCACCACCTTAGGACTCATATGTTTCCTCTCTCTCTTGGACCCATGCGTAAATGATTCGCCCTGTTGTGTGCGGCTGAATTGAGACAACGGCGAGGAGGGGGAGGAGGGGGAAAATAGAACTAAAGCAGGGGGATTTCGTCACCTGTCCTTGAACACTCTGGCTGGGACGTTGCGCCCGGTCTTGGCATATCGATGAGAGAGTGTGCGTGTACGTGCCCACATATCTGCTGGCCCTGGTGCGTGTATAGGACGTATGGCCAGCGGTCTGAGATGCAGACATTGGATGAGGAGAGATCTTCGGTGGGCTGTGGACAGGCCACCTATCACCACACCCAGGCGTTTGGCCGCTGGATTGGCAAGTGCAGCAACGCCACCATGAATTTCTTAATGGGATTATTCCAGCGCGGTTCCTACTACATTCCACACGATGAGGATTACTGCATCAGTCGAAAAAGTGAATATCTTTTTTACTTGTATATATCTGCTTGCTTTGGTTTGACGATGATAATTGGAATTAAGCCATGAGGAATTTTAGTTTGAGTAATCTATGCAACTTACTATGCATGGCAGAAATATGAAAAGGTAGATGACACAAGGAGGTCAAGTATGAACCAGCACAGGAAGCAGAACCGGGTAACGTAAACAAAACTCAAATTTGAGAAACATAAAGGATAATTTCAGAATATCTCTTAGAAATGAATGATTCAAGAACTATATGTATCCATTATCTGTATGAAAGTAATGATAGATACCATTTATAGTGAAATAATTCAGCGGTTAAGGTTATAATTCTAAAAGTCCTAATTCTGTATTGGACCAGGTTGTAACCATTTCATTCACTGTTTTTAATATGAATCTTTAGTAAAATTTGTGTTAGCTTGTCTTAAAAATCATTTTCTCTGGTGGCTATTGCTCCAAGAATATTTGGTATTGGTTAGGGTGTTATTGGGCCAAAGATTTTTTTGTAAGGTTAGGATTAGGTTTAGGGTTAGGTGTAATGTAGGGTTCAGGGTTGAAGCGTTGAATTTGGTCAGTGTAGGATATTGTCTGCAGGGGAATCGTCGCAGGAGTATATGTCATACAACTAGCAGATCAACTTGTACATTATGATCCTGGGGGTGTCGCTAGAAACCTGTCTGAAACATGTCTAGAAAAAAGGTCTCTATCAAAGTGTAATGTAAATATTGAAGCAATTACAAGCCACTGTTTTTTTAAATTTTTAATGAATGATATAGTTTAGATCAATCCTTTTCTTTGACTGGCTTCATTGAACAAACAATTTAATCGTCTCAAAGCAAAAAGAAAATAAGTTTAGAAGGGTTACGTGTGAACACAATCCATTGTCTTTAGCTGTATGCTTTCCTGAGTGAATCATGCGTTGAGGTTGGAACCTTGTGATCGTTTGTTGGCCAAATTTAGCAAACGTGGAGAGAGAGAGAGAGGTAGAAAGAGACTCTGGAACCTAGTCATCAGACGTTTGGAGTCTCTGGGGTCTGGAACAGAAAAGAGTTATTCTTGAAGTTCGTGACAACGTGACTTTTTTAACTTGGTGAAGCCATGCTGTCAAGAGCGACTGCCATGACTCAAGATTCATGGAAATTGTAGTGTGCATTGAATATACGGAGAGCCTAGCTTGAAAGCGCTACTCTATCTGATGGGCATTTGAGATTACTATCGCTCTTTCTCTTCTATTGCTGACAGCAGTACTTTGTTTGGTTTCTTTTTTTAATCAGCATTTAGGAAAAGTTTAGTCTCAAAATGAGTCTACACCACATACATGTTCATGGATGAAATGAGAAAAAAAGAACAACAACAACAAAAACAGAATTGCTTTTATTGTGCCTACTGCCTGGTCTGGTCACACCTATAGATAACTGTAACAAAACAATCAGTCCATGTTATAAGGTATTGGATACCATTGTTGCTCACTGAGTTATATTGAAGAGCCTTCATCCTGATTTCCTCAGATCCAATACCTTCTCTATGTAAACTGATCATAACAATTGAAAATGCCAGTGGCCCAAACACGGAACCTTGTGGGACGCCTTCCTCAAAAAGATCATATAGTAATGGTTATTAACAGTGATATGCGACATCTCAGTAGGCTGTGACAGTTTAGATGTGACCTATTTGGGCATGTAAAATAAATGAAACTGTCTCCAGAGGATAAAATAATTTTTTTTTAAATTACAAAACACAGGAATGTGCTTACTAGAATTAAGATTAATAAAGTTTTGAGGAAGTGTACCTTGGAAATCAATCCGTACTTCAATTTTGCAAGCTTTGACACAGGAATCTGTCGCCTGGAAAAAAGGTTTATAAAGTTTTGGGGAATTTTAATTGTGCCTGGGAAATTGAATCATAGTTCACTTCTGCAAGCCTTGGCACAGTATAGAACATTTGGCTTCAGCTTGCCTTATCTTTGGATGTTCACAACTAATCGAGTTAATTATGATACCACTAAAAAGTGAACGTTGAATTACCAGACTGTAATTGGATGAAAGTGTAGGTCGTAGTAGCCTTGTATTAAAATAGATCCTTAACTAGTCCAAGCTGAGGTCAAACACAAATTTGCTCTCCTCTCCTGCTGTCGCCGACGATGATGGTGTTGATGATGAGGAGTCAAGGTTAAATCTATATCAGTCCCGTGATGACCAGTGAGTTGACCCATCTCTCTTGAAGGTCCATGATTGACCAGAGCTTCTGGCTATCTTGGTCAGTGCTGCAGGTGAAGGATTAAATCATAAGTGGGTGAAAGGAAGTCTACGCCCTTTGACCTACCGAGTCACTTGGTGATGTGACATTTGCTCTGGCGTCATCCATACATTATGAAATTTTCTCCTCTTACATCACTTCTATATAACTCTGCATAAGTTGACTCTATTGGGACAGCAAAAAATAGTTTGACATCCGCAAAATTCCACTTAGGAAGTGTAAAATAACACGTTTTGCATAGTTTGGTTTAAAAAATGTTTGACTAAGCAAAATTCCAACTTGTGAGATTTTAAGTTATGCAGAGTTGACTGTAGTTTGCTGTATTGCTATATCTAAAGAGAAGCAATTACTGTTGCATCAAAGTATATTATAACAATAAAAATGAACAGGTTACGGTATTCTTTTGGACCTCTTGTTAAAGCCCCACTGCACTACTTATAGCTTCTTGCGCCCTCTTTATAGCAAACAATGCCTAAGCGGTGACTGTTCGTCCCTCATGGTCCCCTTTTTCTGATGTTAATTGAGAGCTGATTTGATGAGATCACCACCTGTCAGTGACCATGCGGGGAGGTCTAATCCCTCCTGACCAAACTAGTGCAGATACTCTTTAAGTGATAACACTTTACAGTAGCGCAATGTTGACCGAAAGTGTTCACCAACTGTTCACAGAAATGTCAACATGTAAAAACTTTAAACAGGGTCTCAATTGTCCTCTTTTGAATACCTTGCAATATTTGTTGTCAATTGAAGAGGTGTTAATTGACCGGAACGGAGTGGTCCAGACATCTTAAGTGTTGTGAAAGGAAGGAAGTCCCATTTCCTCTTTAATACTCGTCTCGTTGTTGATACGATGCAACTGTTGATTGCTCCTGCCCCTAGCCTTAAGGCTGTCATCTATGACTGCCCTTTGGAAATGTCTTACTTTATAGTCAGTTCTCAGTGCCATTAGTAAAGTAGATATATTACTTTCCCCCTGAATTATTTTTGTTGTAGTTTCCAAAATAGATGGCTTTGTATTCATTGTTCTCTTTCTTTCCCATCTGTCCATCTGTCCCTCATTTTACTTGCCCTCTGTTAATCTTCTTCTCCCATCACTCCCTTTTAATTAAACAAAAAAGAAAATTAGGGTTCTATTTTATTTCAGATTTGTGAACCTTTGTTGTAATGAACCTTTGTGGTAATGAACCTTTGTTGTAATGAACCTTTGTAGTAATGAACCTTTGTAATAATGAACCTTTGTAGTAATGAACCTTTGTAATAATGTAGTAATGAAGTTGATGAACCTTTGTAATAATGAACCTTTGTAGTAATGAACCTTTGTAGTAATGAACCTTTATAGTAATGAACCTTTGTAGTAATGAACCATCAGAATTATGAATCTTTTGAATAACAGACCTGAAACAGGAACTTTCGAAAATCCTCATATAATCATTCAATTATTGCCCTATTTCCACATCTGTTAAAGATGTTTTATTATGATTTGATACATGTACGTATGTAGCAGGTCAGATGAAAGTGTTGTTTTAATTAAGCTTGCTCGACTTGATTTCAGTTAGGAAGAGGGTCAATCGTCTGAATTTTATTTTAGGGTAACTGTTCACAGGAAGTGCTAAATATAGACAACCTTAATTCAAACCAGTCAAAGTCCTTGATGAACACAAATTCTTTTTTTCAAAATGCACTTGCTCTTTCTCTTTGCATTTTTGTTAACATTTAAATTTTAATTATGTTACATAAAATGTGCGAAATTAGAATGTGCAAATACACTGTACATGTAATTTGGGGATATATTAACACTGGGGACATTAAAATAAGCCAAGGCTTTATTTGAATACATACTGACACAATTTCTGTGAGGTATGTTTAAGCACTTAGGGGAAAGAGGATCATCAAGGTGTCTTTACAAACAGATGCTTGAGTGTTATTAAGAAACGCAGTCAGATAGATCAGTATCTCAGTAGTGTCTAGCATCCCGCAAATGAAAGAGTGTACAAGATTGATAATGGATCCTGTTGAAGTCAGAAAAGTATATCCATTGGAAGAAGAAATGATGTGTTTATTCAAGTTTTTTTGTATATTTTTGTTGTTTTGGGCCGAGGGATGGGTTGCATTTAGTTGGAGAAACAATTCCTATGGTCTGTACATTACAAGTCTATAATGAACAAGGGCCAATATTTTACCATTTGTCAGTAACAATGAAAAGTAGGGGTAAATGTAGTCCACCAGTTCTGCACTTACATGATATAAATCTCTTAAACCGTGATTTGCGTTTTTGTTCCAAATTTGGAATCGGTCTGCAAATCTAAAGGATCTTTCAAAGGCAGAATTCCTTTTTTTAATTTTTCTTTCATAAATATGCAAACCCCAAAAGTATCAAATATCTTAAGAGTATGGCTACTGTCCAACTTTTGAACTAAACCCAAATATGCCAGCAGTATCCTGTAAATAGTAACTGGATATTGGCAGATAAAGAAGCTTTAGATATGAGTTTTGTCTGTGAAGTCCTCAGGAAACTGTTTATTTCCGACATTTGAACTTGTGTGTTAGGAGACGCCATGCTAAACCAGAGGGTGCTATCCACTCAAAGGTGTCTGTCGTCTGTTGTACTTTTGGGGTTATTTCAGCAGAGCTTAAATTAATCTTAAATAAATCTGCATCTTAATATTTCCGCCACTAGAATTTAGAGAGGGTCTCCGCATATTTCTGTCCGAAATGTTTGATTTATTTTATTACTTGTTATACATTATATGTTTATTTTTTAAAGTACAAAGATATGCCAAGATGACCCCTCAATTCAATGAGTTTGTGACCTTTCTGACAAAAATTGTGGCTTCGGTTACAAAGTCATTTTCAATATTTGATTTTGCGTAATCATGATCATACATTCAAAATTTGGAATGTCTATTTCTCTAATCAGTGTACATATTCAGATGTATTTACCCTGTTGAACTCGTACATACATTTTATATTTTATCCAACGCTTGCCAAAAAAAATTAAATTAAACCTGTCACTAGGTTTATTAGCTTGTTTCTTTTGCCAAAGATGCCCATGTTTGCCCAGTCATGAAATGCTTTGATTCTGAGCAAAGAAACTATTTTCAAAGGTATGTTCAGCAATCTGGAAGCAGCCCATCCTCTAAACATACAGATGAAATATTACAAACACTTTTTGTGTGTAAATGGTCCCTTTAAAGATAATTAAGTTAGGTTTGTGCTCCTTTTTTGGAGCTTGCTTCCAAGTTCTTGCCAAGTCAGATCATGAGACAATTTGATTATATTTTCAATCTTTTGCATGGGTTATGGTGGTCAATCCTCCAAACATACAGATGGAACATTAAAAACCTTTATTTTCATGACAAGTTCCCTTTAAAGATAATTAAGTTAGGTTTGTGCTTCTCTTTTGGTGCTTGCTTGCTTTAAAGTTCTTGCCAAGTCAGATCATGAGACAATTTGATTATGTTTTCAATCTTTTTCATGGGTTATATTCAGAATTCATGGAAATAGTCAATCCTCCAAACATACTGATGGAACATTACAAACCTTATTTTCATGATAAGTTTCCTTTAAAGATAATTAAGTTAGACACGCGCTTCTTTTTTTGGTGCTTGCTTGCTTTAAAGTTCTTGCCAAGTCAGATCATGAGACAATTTGATGATGTTTTCAATCTAAGCGAGAGGAAACCGCATTCATGGGCTATGTTCAGTGCTCATGGAAGTAGTCAATGGAAAAGGGGATCTCCAGGGGGTCTTGTATTAAAGTGACTCGGTAACATTGCCTCAGATTCTGAAACAAAATCCTGGATTTAGCTCATGCTGCAATCATAATTATAAACCTTTAGGTTAACCAGGAACCCCATGACTTTTACAAGCCGATCGATTATCAAGATATTTATGATTGAAAATAAAAATTTACACTACAGTCTACTGGTGAAAATGAGTATGGTAATACCGGTCACTCAAAGATTTTTACTTTTTTGAGGCACTTCATGATCATTTTGAGGGGCTTCAATAATATTACACCATATCACACACACTGATAACACGTAGGGCCATGCATCTCAGATTTAACATTGTGAAACGATGCCTTTAAGCTTCACGTGAGCTACTGCTGTCTTTCATGACTAGGCAGGCTAGCTAAAGCTAAAGCTAAAAATGGCCCAGAATGTTACCCCCCTGAGAGGTTAGCAGTTACATGTAAAAGTGTACATTTAGCTGTGAGAATGTTTTGAATGTCATGATCAGTATCAAAAAATGTCTTTCCAAGGCTTCGTACCCTAACAGGGACCCTTATCTTAGAATTGATTTAAGGACAATACCGTGTACGGAAGGGTGGGGGGGGGGGGAGGGCTTTCTATCGCTTCTATCTATCCTTTCTATCTATCCTTTCTATCCTATAGCTTTTCATAGTGGGAGATAGGTGTATATTTAGAGAACAATCTTACTTTCTCGAACTCAAGGAAGTTGCTTTGAATTGTTGCATATTACGATTTTGTTTCAAAGTATAAATAAATGGGTAGAAAAAGTTTTATGGGTATGGTAATGGTTCACAATTTTCTTTTAGTCTCATTTAGAGGCCAATTTACCATTGCATTTGTGATGGATTTGTTTTTAAAAAAACTGAAAACCTTGTCACTCTGTGTTCCTAGTTGTGAACACCAAGAGAACAATATTCATGATCATAGGTTGCGTCTGCTTGATGAACTTTTGCACTCTTTCGACCATCACTTAGCAGGCTATAACGCTGCATTTCCTTCTCCTAGAAGCCAAAGGTGATACGGTCGCACCTCAAGGTGTAAAGTGTCGGCTAGCTTCACTCCGCAGCTGAATGACATGTTAATGCTGGTCATGACTGAAGCAAGCTATCAATCTTGACCATGCATGCCTGCATGTGAAATTCACAACGGTCTGTTGCCTATTTGAGGTCAAGCCCTAAATATGGACTGCCCGAAACCTTCTATCCGCTCTCTCGATTTTGTTGAGGAAATTAGGCTGGGTCTAATTGCACTTGTTTATTTTTATGTTTTGGCATGTGGGTGATTTCAAGTTGGAAGTATGGAAATAGCCACAATTTTGTCTGGGGTTTATGGAACATGTGATGTGTCAGACAAAGAGGTGACGATGTGACCTACATTTTAGTATCCTACAGTTTTTGAGAGCTTTATATAGTATCAGTCCATTATATTTCTTTAAATTTCTCCCTTTTATACTTCCCTTTTTACTTGTATTCTATATTAACAAATATAAAAATCCTACTTATGAATTGCATGAAACATTTGTGAGCATTCCATTTCTTAAGATATATACTAATGCCCTTTCTTTTCATAACCATCAAAGTGCTGTTTCAATATTCATAATTTGATATTAATACTTTGTTATGCATTAACTAATATATGTATTTGGAGTGTGTTTATTGTGTTTTATGAGGGTTTTGCATGCAGTTTACTAATAGAAAGTTGCTTTATAAACCTAAAGTGCTTCTCTTTTGACCCCTAACAAGATATGGCATGAATGATGGCAGTAAAAGCATTGCAGCCAACATTTCACACAATATTATTTGTGAATTAAGGTTTACATATTTATTGCATTTTTGCCACCTAAAATATCATTCTCTTCCTTTATTCTTGTTCCTTTATTGTAGGCATGGAACAATCTGCCTTCAAGTCGATATCCATCGACCATCTCGACGATGCGGATGATGCGATAGTTGGCGCCATCACCTTTGCAAACAACGCGGCTGTCGACAAGCGCATGAGTAAGAGCAGCGACTCGCTTTCCGGAGGACTGACGCAGAGGAGATCGCGGTCGACAAGTCTCGGGGAGAAAGACGCAGAGTATGTATACTTTCTAAAATAAACATTAGCAAATTTGTTTAAAGGCATTAAGCATTGTGAGGTGTATATTCAAATTCCATTTTACCTTCAGTAAGTAATTTGCCTCAAAAAACTTTGGCAGCAAAATAAAACGACACATCTTAAACACACAGAGAACTGAGAATTGAGTAGAGGCCTTTGTTTCATGCAGCTTCTGTTATTCACCTCCATCTGCCATCCATTTCCACGTAAAATGTCTTTGTTTTTCCGCAAAGTTTTTAATATTTATATCACAGTTTACCATGTTATATGTGAACAAGGCATTCATTCTCATCAAAGGTTGGAGTACTGGTAAAAATTAAAAATGTGCAAAATTTACCTTTTGTATTTTAAATTATGTTATCCCCTAGACCTATGTGTATCTATCAGTGTTTGTGCTTTCAATTGGGTTACAAGTTTAGTAAAATTTTATGTAGAGATTAGTGCAGAAGCAAAGAACGTGACATTTTATAAGTGTTCTAACTAGATTATGTGTCAAGGCAATTGTAAGGTCACAGAGTTAAATAGAAGACACAGTGCTGTAAAAATCAAAATCATCCCCTTGAAAAAGTTCACTGTAGTTCAGTGATCTGAAGTAATTAGGAGTTTATCAATCAAGTTCTTGCTTGTAACATGCTTGAAGCAAGCGACCTTTTACATACCCTCTGCAGTGTATTAAAATGGTTGTCCCTCCCCCTCCCTCCCCTCTCTATCTCCCTCTCTTCCTCCTTTCCTTTCTCTCCCTCCCTCCATCACTGCCTCTGCTTTTTCTTCACCTCTCTTGTCTATCTTTCTCTTCATACCTACCTCAAGTGCTAATATATGAATCATAAACGTGTAGTGGGTGGATGACTTAATAACATGGATTAAGATAGTGTCAAGAACCCAAATGCTATTTCCTTTTGGTGAACGTATGATTTAATTCATGCTGACGTCCCATATCAAAGTAACTAATATCATTGGTGCCTACATACCATCAAAGCTCAAGACTCTAGGTCTTTCATGTATCTCTGTCACTTTGAAAGTGATATTTTGCGCGCTGTTATAAAAGTCACCCTTTTTATGCCTCCGTTACGAAGTAGCCGGAGGCATTATGTTTTCGGGTTGTCCGTCCGTCCGTACGTCCGTACGTACGTACGTACGTACGTCTGTACGTACGTACGTCCCGTTCTCGTGATCGCGTTATCTGAAGAACTGGTTGATGGATTCCTGCCAAACTTTGGTCATGTATGTATCTTGTAGAGCCGATGAACTGATTAGATTTTGGGGTTACGAGGTCAAAGGTCAAAGGTCACAGGGCTCATTATGTATGCAAAACGAGCTCGTGATCGCGTTATCTGAAGAACTGGTTGATGGATTCCTGCCAAACTTTGGTCATGTATGTATCTTGTAGAGCCGATGAACTGATTAGATTTTGGGGTCACGAGGTCAAAGGTCAAAGGTCACAGGGCTCATTATGTATGCAAAACGAGCTCGTGATCGCATTATCTGAAGAACCGATTGATGGATTGCTGCCAAACTTAGGTCATGTATGTTACTTGCAAAGCCAAAAAACTGATTAGATTTTGAGGTCACGAGGTCAAAGGTCAAAGGCCACAGGGCTCATTATGTATGCAAAACGAGCTTGTGATCGCGTTATCTGAAGAACCGATTGATGGATTGCTGCCAAACTTAGGTCATGTATGTTACTTGCAGAGCCGATGAACTGATTAGATGTAGGGGTCACAAGGTCAAAGTTCAAAGATCACAGGGCACATTATGTATGCAAAAACAGCTCGTGATCGCGTTATCTCAAGAACCGATTGATAGATTCCTGCCAACTTAGGTCATGTATGTTTCTTGCAGAGCCAATGAACTGAGTAGATTCTTGGTTCATAAGGTCAAAGGTCATGGGCTCATTATGTATGCAAAAATAGCTTGTAATCACAATATTCTGAAAACCTGTTAATGGATTACAATTGAACTTGAATTTGAAAAATTTCTTCTGTTTTGGTTTGTAAAATTGCTCTATGACGGAGGCATCATTTTCGACTGCGCGCAGTCGAAGTTCCATCTAGTTGTTTATGCATTATATAGATGACCTTGTACTATACAAATGTCATTATGACCTTGTACAGATGCAAATTTCAAATTATAACATTGTAATCAGTAGGAATTCAATTTAACCATGACTTTTGGATGTTGATAAGACAGCTAAGTTCATCACTTCCAAAAACGACCTCATTTTGAAGATTTGGTAATACAATGTAGGTGTTCTCGAATAAGAATTGACAGGAAAGGGGACTTATTCCTGATCATATGGTAGAAATTCTAAGCAATAGATTATTGCTTTCAAATCCTACGAAATGTCACAGAAGCGAAGGGAAGGATAAGAAGATAGAGGGCAGTATATATTTTAAGCAGTTAATAGAATCGATGTCACCTTGGCCCTGCCTTATAAAGCGTTGCGACTGATTCAGATCGATTGAAGTCCTCCCAATCAAAAGACCAGTTTACTGACATTTCAAACTTTATGCATACTTTTAAACAAGGTTGTTCTTGACAACCTGAAAGCTTGCCTGAGGATTGCCAAACATAGCAGCATGTAATGTATGCTTTTAACATTTCCAGGGCCAAGATGTTACTTATTAAAACAATAACATTCTCAAAAGTTTTTCTATCTTTTTTGCAAGATTTCCTCAAATCTTGGCAATCACATATTAAAAATAAAAGCAGCACTAGTCCAATAATTCATACTTGGAGCCAACAAGGAATTGATTCAATACATAGAGTTAACTCTTTTGGCTTTGAACGGATAGATTTTTCTTGTCACTATTATTAGACAGCAGTTGCATCATGGCATTTAAATAAAATATCAAAATATAATTGGGAGAAGAATCACATGTAGGGCAAGTTTACGAGAAGTTTGAAAGTTTAAAAGGATATTCAAGTCAAGAGAGTCTAGCTTGTATTTCTTTATCAATGCATACATCATTTTTAAGGGAAATTTGATTAAAAACACTGCTCCAATGTCTCGTATGGGGAAAGAGGGGATTTCCACACAAGATCCGTTCCTCAAATCCAATTTATTGAAGTTTTGTTTAATACTTGTTTATAAAGTTCTTGAACTTTAATTTGAGTTGATTCCAACATCTTTGGTAATGTGTTTTGATGTAAAGATAGAACAGATAATTGTGTGTGTGTGTAATTGGGTTTTTTGCAGACGTGTATCAATCAGATATGATTATTTACGTCTGTGGACCGACCTTTAACGTCACCTTTCGAAAGACGTGGATAAGATTTAAGTAGCCCTTGTTTCAGGCAGTAAGAGTTACTACTCCCTCTTAATTAAAGCCTAGAGAATATTACAGGACATTCAAATGATTCTCAATTTTAGCCCATGACTCCATATAACATTCCTTATTAATGCTGGGACATACCATTTTAAAGAGGTTTTGTTCAATTTTACCCTCTCCACCCTACCCCTCCCCATCCTACCCCATCCCACCTTTAAAACTACAATTGAAAACCACTACCAGAGAGGGAAGCTGGGCTAACGTCACTTTAACACACCAGTTTCTATATTTCATTTGTATGTAACATTGTTCATTTCAATTCAGTTCAGATAAATTAAGGGTTTATAGGAAATTAGTTTGCAGCAAAATGGCTGAGTTGTGATATATTGCAATTTACTATACAGCTAACATAAACCATTCTTTTCCCATACTTTGAGTATGCAACAAAATCATCAGAATTTATTTTAGGCTCTTGCCATCTTCTTGCCATTCCAGCCTCGTGATCAAATCAAATGAGATAATTCAAAGCTTCTTTGCTCTCTTCTTATCTTCAAGCGTGCATTTACATTTGCACATTAGCGAGCACCTTCGCAGCTGTTCCAGAGCACATTGCCACTCCAGATAGCTGCGTTTGTGAATTAAGTCGTCAATTAAGACACCCTTGCTGTTCGCCTCTAATTCCCTCCACAGACGACTCCGTCTGTACCCTACGAAAATTCAACCTTATCCGATCTTTTATTAGCACTCGAATGTTTCAAGTTCTTCAATTATGCGTCGCATTCGCTGAAATGAGCAAGGAACTATTTCCAGAAAACTCGCTCAATTTGGATCTAATTAGCCTATTACTGCTTCCTTTTTGTCAGCTAGAACTCTTTAATGGTAGAACATGAATGACGGGGGAAAGATATCATTTTCCTTTCCAATTTTCATTTTTGATGAATTGAATGAGAAGGGTACATATTTTCAATTACCTTTAATAGGAAATTGAAGATTGTGTGGGAGACGTTCTAGTTCTTATCACATCTGCACATGCCTAGTCAGATAGAGATAGAGAAGTTTTAGCGAACGAGAAAAGTGCAAATTTGGTTAGTTATAGGGAAAATAATTAGATTGTTTTATTCATGCTGTTAACCCTCTTTTCTCAATTGCTTCCTTGCCATCTTTCTGGGTTTTTTTAAATTATCTTTTGATCTGTCTATCTCCAGTTAAATCTAATTAGTATTATCTGTTGCTCTTCATGTATATCTCCAATTGTTTATTAAACCTCATACAGATTTTTGTGTCCACATAATTTTCTCTTTATTTCTGTTTCCCTTCTTCATTCCTCGGTTGATTCTCACCTTCTTTTGTTCAATTCCCAGCACATCTCAATTAATACACTGTAGAGAAAGCTTGTTACCGTAGTGAAACCAAATGATGCTGTATACTTTCAGCAAATTGTTCTAAATTTGCCTAGAATGTTTTCCTTATCTGCATGTCCCACACTGAGAAGTAAGACCTTCACACATCCCAATGTGGCTCGCACGAAGATCTGTTTAAATCATCATAGATCTCTCATTGCTTCTGCTATGTATTCCTCATGTATATGTGACAAGTATTTTAGTCTTTTTTTTTCTTCATCAAAGCACTTCATTCCAGTTAAATTTAGAAGATGAGCTGTTTGTAATCAAGTAGTATCACGCATTTTATACTTAGCCCCGATTGCTTTTGAAACTATTTCAAATAGTTTCAAAACTTTGTCACACGGATGAAGCCATAGCCTTGCTTCAAGGCTGGGAGTCTTTTCCCAATGTTATTATAAATAGTTTGGGTTGAGTTTGGAGTTTAGCAGTTTGAGTGTATAATCAAACCCTTTCTATATCTCACCTATGAGAGTATAGAGATACACATATTTCAAGCAAGTATAAGTAAACCAGACTCTGCCAAACGCATTCTTAGAGATAGGAACAATTTACTTTTAAACCTTGGAGCTAGGCTATGAAACAACCTGGAAAAGATGCTCAAAAGATCTCCTACTTGCTCAGTGTCTATCCCAGGAGGAAGGAAAGAATCATTCCTTCTGTGATTAAGACCTAATTCTGTTTGTTTAGATAAAGATGATACTGTGAAATGTCTGAGGCCCCGAGATGGGAGAAAGGATCTAATTTGCACCTTTTTAAATGAGCAAGACTAGAATCTCATTGTGCCTCCCTCTCTCTTCCTCTTCCTCTTCTCTCTTCCGCTCTCCCTTCTCTCTCCCCCTTCTCTCTCTCTCTCTCTTCTCTCTCCCCCTTCTCTCTCTCTCTCTCTCTCTCCCCCCCTCTCTATCGCTCTTTCTCTCACTCTTTCTTTTCCTCTCTTTCTCTCGCTCTCTCTCTCTTTTCCTCTCTTTCCCTTTCTCTATCCGTGTCTCTCTCTTTCTTCCTCTTCCACTCTTAGTCCCTCCCTCTCTCACTTAAATTCCACTCTCTGTCTCTGTCTCTTGGTCTCTCTCACTGTTTCTCTATCTATTCTCTCTCTCTCTTTACTGCTGTAATGCTAGCTCCTGTCAATATGCAAGTGTTTCTTATTATCTTTGCATAGCGTTTCTTCTTGGGTTTTAAGGTGGAAAGTTTCTAGAAACTCATATCTTTAAAATGTACTTTCTTAAATTGAAATTTACTGTGTTTAATACAATTATATTTCTTTCAGTAATTGGGCCGAGATACTAATTTCATACCACTTTCTTTTTCTTTGTCTTTTACAGCAGTGCATACGAGGAAGGGCCAGCTGCAACGGCCGCTCGGTCAAAGAGTGAGCTGGAAGTTGAACTCAGAAGACTGACGCACCAGTTAAATATGGTAAGAATGAAGTATTCCACGCTTCTTTGAATTTGATTTCGGTAAAATATAACTAATAATAGAAAGAATATAGTTGCATTCAGAGTGCATAGGTGCAGAGGGAAAGGGAGAAGATACAGAGAAACTAAAATGAGGTTGACAGAGAGAAAGATAGAGAGAGAGAGACAGAGAGGGAGAGGGAGAAGGAGAGAGGGGGAGAGATAAAGAGAAAGCATGATGGAGGGATGTGAAGAGAGAGACAGAAAGAGAGAGAGAGAGAGAGAGAGAGAGAAAGGAAGAATAGTGAGGGGTAGGTAAGCTGTGAATGAGCAATCATAAAAACAGAGTGGGGAAACCGCTGTAATGACATGTAATGGTTTATTTCAAACGTAAGAGTATATTTAGTGGTTAAAAGGCAAGAGGATTACTAAAGATGGAAAACATGAGCTCTATTATAAAGGACTGATACACAGAGGAGGTGATAAATATAAGAGATCTAAAATGTACTTAAACATTTCTTAACATGGAACGCTTAGCTATGAAGGGTATTCAATGTTAGGGATTACAAAAAGAAATCTTTCTTCAAACATTCATGAATGTTTCATTCCTGATCCTAATCCTTCATCATCCACATTCAAAATAGATCAAGCTTAAAACATTATCTCACCACTATCATTCTGGATTAGGAAAACATTATCTCCATTGGACTCTTGGCAAGCAAGCGTTATGATGGGCTTGAAACGTGGTTTAAGATGGGAGTAGAACGTAGAGTAGAACGTTAGCATGAGATTGTGGGTGTGGGTGTGAAGGGAAACCCTGGGACAGACGGTGTCAGCGTGACTAATAGGAAAGAGAAACAAAGGGGGGGACCCTGATGGCTCGACGGGTGTGTTCACAATCCAAGAGAAAAGAGAACGTTGTAGAGCTCCAAACCTAAAAACATTTTTGTTATTGGAACTGGTTGTATTATTCTGTTTTTCAGGGTTGTGTGTTTTTGATCGTGTCATTCAAGCTGAGGAAAATTTGAGTATCTTTGAAGAGTTGTGAAGGGTTTTTATGGAAGGAACAATTTGAGGGATCAGTGACACAAAGACGTAACTCCGTATTTTGCAAAAATGAGTATTTGATATTTTCGTTGTAGAGCTCCAAACCTAAAAACATTTTTGTTGTTGGAACTGGTTGTATTATTCTGTTTTTCAGGGTTGTGTGTTTTTGATCGTGTCATTCAAGCTGAGGAAAATTTGAGTATCTTTGAAGAGTTGTAAAGGGTTTTTATAGAAGGAACAATTTGAGGGATCAGTGACTCAAAGACAGTAACTCCATATTTTGCAAAAATGAGTATTTGATATTGAAATGTTCAGAAAAATTTGGGCTTTCCAGGAAACACAAAGACTTAACTCCACCAACACCCCATTGAAGTCAATGGCTAGTGAAAAATGGACTTAACTCCTTAAGGCCCAAGTGCTTAGTGACACATAAGCCACTTTTTCTCAAAATGGAGTTATGTCTTTGTGTCACTGACCCCTCAATATGTACATCAGTGATGATACTGTGCAGTTATAGAATCGGAAGTAGCCTTAAGATCCTTAGGAACCTTCCATCACATCAGAAATAGCAAACCTAATATCGGACTTAAAAGTTACCAGCATATTTTTCTTTGAAGAAATTAACAACAACAACAAAAAGTAGCTTGAATATAGACTAACTTCAATGAGTATTCCATCTTACGTGTGTAGTCTCATTACCTGTACATGTAACTGTGTAACAAAATAATTACACTAGACATATTAATGCTGGGTATTTGTAAGCGAGTTAAGACTCGCAATTGTGATTTCTTGGCCGGTAGAAGTACCTTGTCTCAGACGGTGTTTCCTGGATGATGTAAAGCAGGTGCCGGGAATGTTGGTTGCTATGACGTTGCTGGTAAATTTCAGATGCTTTCCAAAAGTAGGGCTTGCTCTCCCCTCAACAGGAAAACACTCACTGTCCATAAAAATCTTACTTTCAGCATCGGACATGTTGAAGGAATGGTCATATCATTGATTATAAAGAAAGTCTGACATTTAAAGTGGAGTTTGAAAGAATAGAAGAATGTACATAATCCGAATATTGGTGAACCTCAATACTTCAGATTTTATCAATGTTTGTACATACAGGGCTTAAACACTAATATACATCGGGGTCCTGTTTCATCAATCTTGTTATCAATAACAAATACTAAATTTCCAGAACAAATTTGCTCTCAGCCAATCAAATGCAATGATTTCAGTAGCTTATAACAGTTATTGTAACTTTACATTGATAACAAGTTTTATGAAACAGGGCCATGGTACCCATAGAACGTTTAGACAGAAGTAAAGTAAACAACAATAACATCGGACAAATTGAGAGTTTTAAAAATGGATGTGAAACTTCTAAAGAACTGAAAATGGAGGAGAAATCATTTTTATGTAGAGAAAACTTCATGAAGAGATGAGAAAAGAGTGAGTGAGAGGGGAAAAGAAAGCAAGGCTTTGGATTTGCTCATCTCTTATTACCAGTCAATCAAACAAATGTAAATATTTTGGAAGCCATGTTCTTGGCAGACCGTCCTTGCAGTCACATGACTCGATAACATCGCGTTTCAGGTGACCTTTGGCAACCCTCTGGTGACGGAAATAGACTGATTTAACGGATTAGAGCCAAAATAGAAGCAAAGACATTGTTGTGAAAAGTTTATTCTTTGAATATGTACATGAATGATCTTATTCAAGGACTTGGTTATTTTAAAGAAAATTCTGGGTCCAGAGCTGTTTTGTGTAAGAAGAACAAAAATTGCTGGAGTTATAGATAACTTCAATCCTTTGAAATGCCAGTTTGACCTTAGATTTTATTTCAAACTTTGATCTTTTTTTCTTTAAGAGGTCTGCTAGAGCGCCGTAATGGAAGCACAGCTAAAGCCGGAGTAATAATCTCCAAGTTTGGAAGCGCTTAGTGATTGTAATAAGCGCTATATAAAAACTGAGTATTATTATTATTATTATTTTAAAATATGATATGGGATTGTTTGAGAAGTTCATCTGGATGGTTTAAATCATTCAAAATAATTCATTATCAAAGGGAATTAACTTTTTAACCATTTAATTTGGAATAAAGAATTTGTAAGTTATAAGATATTTTTTCCCAGAAACGCAACTTTTCTCATTAGACTTAGAGACTTTGAAAAACGTATACATGTAGAGCAAAGTAAAGAAGTCATTTGAAAAATATACTAATTTATTTTAATTGAATAAAACATGGAAAGCACTGTGGATCACTAGTGACTTGATAATTGGGCCTTATGTGAATCAGAAGAAAATTTGAATCAAAGTCAGTGAACTTTTTCGTTTGACGTAAGCAGCAGTCCCCTGTCTCATGGCGTAACCCTTTATGAATTCAAAGAAAATATTTATCTTCAGGTCAGAGACCTCTCTCTCTCTCTCTCTCTCTCTCTCTCTCTGTGTAAGAGAACCATATGTGACTGGCAACAGTTAGCAAGAAGGCAGTGAACTAATAGACACAGTATGTTCATGAAAATAACCCTGTTCACATAAGGAGTTACTTAGCTTCAGAAACATACGTCATAGAAAATTCTTGCATTGCGCATATTTGGAGTTTAAGAAATGTTCTAGATAATTCCACTGTATGCAGTATGCTTGTACACATTGAGATGTCGAGCCAAGAAATTTGAAAGCATACACAAGCTTTAAGGTTTTTTTTGCTTATGCTGGCTATACACGAGCAAAAAAATAAATATTTTGTTTGAGAATACTCCTAAAATTCTCCATGGTTATTTGCCCAGGGATATTTTTTCTTAAGTAAGAAATTATCATTTCTGGTAAAAAGGGCCTTTTCACATACTCTGGCAACAATTGCTCTGTAGTCAGTTTCCTACAGTATCCAAATACCTAACTTCAACCTCAAACAAACAGTTTAGTCCTAACCCTGACTCTAAACCATAACTAAAACCATTTTAGATATGCTTTAGTGTCAGGGTTGGGTTGACCAAACTAGCAACCCAAGGTGTAACCCTTTATATTTTCCAAAATAAGGCCCAGAGCTAATGTCTCCAGTGCAACATAATTTACTCAAACCTAACCCTAATCCTAAACCCAACCTAAAAACCTATAGCAACCCTCTGCCTAAAAAAATTGCTTCTACAAATCTTTGGGAAGTTAATTTTCAAGAATTGATTTTTCGAGAAGTTAGTGTGAACATGACAAGGTTTTGTATGTAGAGACATCATGTCAAGTACTCTTCGGGAAGTTAATGTTCAAGAATTATTTTTTGAGAACTTAGTGTGAACATGACAAGGTTTTTGTATGTAGAGACATGTCAAGTGTTTGTCATGGATGTCATCCACCAAACCCTGTGTGATGTTAAGGCTAGGTACAGCGATGAGTGATGGAGAGGAAATGACGCTAGGAGGAAGAGTAGAAGAGAACATGAGTGCCATAGGAGGGCACTTAGAGTTTATAGAACCTGTTTGTAATCAGTTTGTCAAAAGGGCTCATATCTTACTGAGATTATCACATTTTCTTTCATTTAATGTTGAACATGGACAAATTTGTCAATTAGTTTAGTTACTGCTTAGGTTTTGAGACGGTCAAACACTTTATGTGCTCCCGTGAAATGTTTTGATTAGCAGATTTTTAAAAAAAAGTCTTTTATGAACATTTTCTGTGTTTTTCCCTCAATCCAAGCACATTTTGTGGAGTTTTATAAGTCAGGATTACATTTTTGTTCAAAGAGTAATTTCTGTATTTTTATTTACATGCAGTGCATTATTTTATCTTAATTAATAGTGATTATGCCTTTTGTGAATTTTTGAAAAGAATATAGTCCTTTGTTTGCGCTAGAAAGTTGTCAAGGCTTTAAAAAAGAAATTGGAATGAATCTCAAGGATGGCAAAACAATAGTTTGGCAGTAGAGTAAAGGCAGTTGTTTAATTAGCTGAGGCCTAAATAGGTTTTAATTAGAACAATGAGGAAAACTACCCATTG